GTACTAGTGTTGCTTCTCTACTTTAGACACAGCAAATCTAAGGACCAAGAAATTTAAAGCCTTTAATCATATGTTAATTGAGAGACCATTAGTCATACCATAGATGCTAAATTAACAACTTAATTGTTTTCTAGTTCCTGTTTTTCATGCATATTAGGGAAAATTCAAACCTTACTAAAACTGTCTTAATGACGTAGAATGGAAAAATGACACAAGTGTTTTAACTTCCCCTTAGAAATAACATCTTTGTGACAAAATTCAAACTATTTTTTCTAAATTACACTTGAAGAAATCAACAATAATCTGCTAGAAGATTTTGCTATAAAGGAAAGAGCCAGTATCCCTAAAAAACAAAAGGTTCATGTCATCACTCCTTAGACGAAAAGCATGGAATCCATGACACTATATGTAAAAACTATTTTTAAATATTTCTCATCTACACAAAACAGAAAGGGGTAAGCAATAAGCCTTTCCTCTTCTCATGCAATGTGTGTGTGTGTGTGTGTGTGTGTGTGTGTGTGTGTGTGTGTGTGTGTATGAGGCCATATTATATATTCAAGAGTATTACAAGGAGAGATCCAAGATGGTGAAGTAGATAAACACTGCGCTTGCTTCCTTCCGTGAACACATTAAAACTACAACTAAATTATGGAACAATTAACCTAGAAAATCATCTGAAATCTAGCTGAACAGGAGTTTTATAACTAAGGATATAAAGAAGCAGCCATGTCGAGACTGGTAGAAGGAGCGGAGACACGAAATGGTCTGGCCCCAAACCTCTGGGTGGTGGGTAAAAATCAGGAGGGATATCTTGCCACAGAGTCTCCCCCTGGAGAAGCAAGGAACCCCAGCCACACATCAGGCTCCTCAGCTTGGAGTACTGGTGCCAGAAAGAGGAGTCCCCACAAAATCTGGCTGTGAAAAACAGTGAGGATTCCGACCTTCAGGTGGGATGGAAGGCTGCAGGAAACCCAGACGTCCTCTTAAACAGCCCACACACAGACTCACTCACTCAAAGGTACTCACCATGGGATCCGGCGGAGGGAGAGTGACTTGGGCGGTGATGGAGGTATATGGGGGCAGACTGAGTATGTGGCCCCAGCCAAAGCCTGGAGGGCAGTAGGCATTTTTCCTCTGTGAGGACCTCCTTCTGTGCAGCCAGCAGGCAGGCGCCATCTTTCCTGTGTTGAGCCCGCCCTCACAGGCCAAATCTGAATCTGATTGGCCTGGAGAGTTCTGCAGCTCCTCTCTGCTGACTCACTGAGACCCCACCATACCCAACTCCCTCAACGCCAGAGGCACTTTTTTAAGAGCAGTCAGCCCCAGCTGCTTTGCACTTTCTTGGAAAACTATCAGAGTCTGCGGGCCCAGGTGAGTGGCAACTAACCTCAGTGTGCTCTGAGACTTTTGCTGAATAGCTCCATGCTCAGCACTGGCACCAGACCAGAATCTACATTAACCTGGTGACCACAACTCTTCCCACCCTAGGGACTCCCTGAGACCCTGCCTCACCCAACTTGCATACTGTACGAGGCTTTATCAGTGGCTGAGCCTTAAGGGAGCTGGCACGTGGCAGCAGGCTTTGTGGTGTCCTGGCATTTTGCAGAACTACCCCAGGCCCAGTACTGGTGGCAGACGTCCTTGGTTCACAGCATGGCCTCTCTCAGGTTTAGCACAGGCAGCACACAACTGTGGGTCACTTTGTACCTCCTACCAGGTAGTCCCTGGCTGGTCACAATCAGTGGGTGATCTGGGCATGCACCAGAGCCCCTTCCAAGAGGCGCCAGAACCAATATACTTGGAGGTTGGCTTCAGACTAGCGCAGCACATCACCCAATTAGCCCCACAAACAGCACACTCAAAGGACAGTATCAATAGGCACCAGAGCCCACTCAGTGGGGTAATCCCCCTGCACAGCAGCTCATAAGCTGTGGATATGGCCAAACCCCACAGCCAGTCAGCCTAAGGGTCAATCCTGCCTGCTGACATGTCAATAGCAATCAAGGCTCAACTATAACAGGAGAGCACACACAACCCACACAAGCGACACTCCTGGAGCACCCAGACAGGTGACCAGGGAGACTGTGTCATAGGGCACCTACTACATAAGGCCACCTGGCCAAGACTGGGAGACATAGCAGATCTACCTAATACATAGAAATAAACATAGGGAGGCAGCCAAAATGAGGAAACAAAGAAATATGCCCCAAATGAAAGAACAGGAGAAAACTCCAGAAAAAGAATTAAATGAAATGGAGGCAAGCAACCTCCCAGAGACAGAGTTCAAAACATGGTTCTAAGGATGCTCAAGGAACTTAGTGAGAACTTCAACAAAGAAATAGCAAGTATAAAAAAGGACACAGAAACTGTAAAAAAGAATGAGTCAGGAGTGAAGAATACAATGACTGAAATCAAGAATGCACTAGAAGGAATCACCAGCAGACTAGATGAAGCAGAGGATCGAATCAGTGATTTAGAAGACAAGGTAGCAGAAAACACCCAATTGGAACAGCAAAAAGAAAAATAAATAAATAAATAAATAATGAGGCTAGTTTAAAAGACCTCTGGGACAACATCAAGCATAACAGTATTCTCATCATAGGGGTACCAGAAGGAGAAGAGAGAAAACAGTGAGAACCTATTTAAAGAAATAATGACTGAAAAATTTCCCAACCTGTCAAAAGAAATAAACATATAAGTCCAGGAAGCACAGAGTCCCAAACAAGATGAACTCAAACAGGCCCACACCAAGACACATTATAATTAAAATGGCAAAGGTTAAATAAAGGCAAATAGAAAATCCTAAAAGCAGCAGGAGAAAGGAAACTAGTAATTTATAAGGGAGCTCCCATAAGGCTGTCAGGTGATTTCTCAACAGAAACTTTGCAGGCTAGAAGGGATTGATACAAAGTATTCAAAGCAATAAAAAGCAAGGACCTACAGCCAAGACTACTCTACCCAGCAAAGAGCTATCATTTAGAATCAAAGGACAGATAAAGAGCTTCCCAGACAAGAAAAAGCTAATGGAGTTCACTACCATCAAACCAGTATTACAAAGAATGTTAGAGAGACTTAAGATGGAAAAAAAATAAAAATTATGAATAATAAAATGGCAATAGCTACAAATCTATCAACAATTACTTTAAATGTAAATGGATTAAATGCTCCACCCAAAAGTCATAGGAGGGCTGAATGGATAAGAAAACTAGGCGGACTGACCGAGTGGCGCGTTGGTTAAGAGTTGGCTTGAGACGCCAGTTCTGAGCAGCAGAGCCTCGGTTTGGATCCCAAATGAGGGCCAGTGATGCTGCGCCCTCTACAGCTAAGATGGTAAACAACAGCTCAACCTGGAGCTGGGCTGCCATGAGTTGCCTGCGACAGCATAGGCTGTAGTGGGGCTGGCTGGCAGCAGGCATGAGCTTTCATAAGCTGCTGTGAACCACCATGAGCAGCTGTCCAATGGCTGCTGTGCAACTGTCTCACCCGGGAAGAGCGCAATGATAATACCAACATGGGCCAGTGTAAACGACATCCTCCACAACTAGACTGAAGAACAAAAGGACAGCAATTCGTCTGTTCCCCTTCCCCGATTCCCCAATGCTGTTCCCCTCCCCCAATTCCCCAATAAAATCTTTAAAAAAAAAAAAAGAAAACAAGGCCCTTACATATGCTGCCTACAAGAGAATCACTTCAGACTGAGACACACACAGATGGAAAGTGAAGGGACAGAAAAAATATTTCATGAAAATGGAAATGAAAAAAAAAGCTGGAGCAGCAATACTTATACCAAACAAAATAGACTTTAAAACAAAGGCTATAACAAGAGACAAAGAAGGATCCAATCCCACTTCTGAGTATTTATCCAAAGAAACCCAAAGCACCACTTAGAGGGCACATGTGCATCCATATGTTCATTGCAGCATTGTTTACAATGGCCAAGATGTGGAGGCAGCCTGGCTGTCTATCGATGGATGAATGGATAAAGAGGAGGTGGTACGTATGTACAATGAAATATTGCTCAGCCAGGGAAGGGAATGGGTTCTTGCCATCTGCGGCAGCATGGATGGACCTGGAAGGTACTGTGCTGAGTGGAGTGTTAGAGAAAGACAGATGCAATGTGACTTTGTTTATATATGGAATCTAAAGAACAAAATAAACAAACAAAACAGAAACAAACTCATAGATACAGAGAACATTTTGATGGTTGCCAGATGGGAGGGGGTTTGGGGGTGAGTGAAAAAGGGAAAGGGATTAAGAAGTACAAATTGGTAGTTACAAAATAGTCATGGGGATGTAAAGTAAAGCATAGAGAATATAGTCAATGATAAGATAATAGCTATATATGGTGCCAGGTGGGTACTAGACTAGTCAGGGGGATCATTTCTTAAATTATATAAATGTCTAACCACTGTGCTGTACCCCTGAAATTAATATAAAATAATATTGGATGTCAACTGTAATTAAAAATTTTAAAAAAGGAGGGGAGGTGAAAGGGAATAAGAGGTCCAAATTTCCAGCTATAAAATAAGTCATGGGGATGTAATGTACAGCATGGGGAATATAGTCAATAATATTGTGATAGCTATGGTGTCAGATGGTTGCTGGACTTATCATAGTGATCACTTCTTTACATATATAAATATAGAACTATGGTATACACCTGAAACTAATATAATATTGTATGTTAGCTATATTTTTAACAAAAAAAAATCTTTAAAAAAAAAAAAGAGAGAGAGTATTAGGAGGTGACTTTGCCAGACCTGGCTTAGAAGCTCAACTCTGACACTAACTGGGTGACCTTGGATAAGTCATTTGATCCAAGTCCTGGTTTCCTAACAATACCTACTTCACAGGGTTGTGGCGGGGACTACCCAGAAGAATGAATGTAAAGTGCTTAGCACAGTAGATGGCACAATGTTAGCTATTATTCTAAGTAACATTTTACTTACTTTTTTTAACAGAAAAAAAGAAATGCACACCTTTTAACACAAATATCCCAGGCAGGCAGTTAATCTTTAATAAGCAAAAACTCAGGATTTTGTTGAGTTACATGCTATGGATCCAACAAAGAATGCCTAAACAGAAAAATCTGGAACCCACAAGGCAGGTTATGACATCATCCCGCTACTCACTGGTGGCATTGTCTTCACTGGGGACATCTCCTTCTGGAGGTGAGCCTCTTCCCAAAGAATGCCTTTTCAATAAGAAGCTGTTTTCTCACCAGCAAGAAATGATGTGGCGGCTATCATCTGTTGTGGGGGAAGAGTGGTTTATGTGATAAAGGTAACTTCTACAAACATGTTATAAATCCAAACACCAACAGGACTTTCCTTTGATGGCTTTATCCTGCTATGTTGACAATTGCAAGGTCAGGCAGTCTTCTCTGAGCAGGGCATTGAGGTGATGAGGCAGAGGAGGTACTGAAAATCTGTATGGACACATACAGAGAAGATATGTGACCGGCAAAGCTGAAAATATTTACTATCTGGCCCTTTACAGAAAAAGTTCGCTGGCCCCTGCTATAGAGTCTAAATGCTAAAGTTAGCACCTTTGCCTGAAGTATTTCAAACTCTATAAGCATAATCAAATCAAAACGCTGGTTTCTGCAGACTCATGACGTGACCATGTTCTTCTAGTCGTGGTTCTGGGATATTGACTAGAAAAGAACATTTTTCTTCTTGCATCTATTTGCTTGAATTCTGATAGATGAAGTCATTCAAAATTAAACTGTTGGCTTATTGGATGAACTGAGAGCATGGACGGACACTTTCCTGAAACCAACAGCCCTCTAGGTCATACACCGCCAACACACCCACAGCAGCAGCCATGCCCCCAGGCCAGGAAAACAGCTCCAAAGCTCTGAATACCAAAGTTTTCCATGCTCTCGGCATCAAAACTCATTTTTGTGGAAAAAAAACCTGAATGGAACTGAGGTGGGGTACTTGTTATCTTTATCCCACCCAGTGTGACTATTGAGACTTTCCCTGTATAAGTGTTGAGATGACTGATTATGGGATATGGGCCAGGGTCTGTGAGTCTGTAATAAATAAATGAGCACATTCAACCTTCTGAAACCTGGGAGAAAATATCTGAATCCTGAACCCAGCAGGTCCTCAAGGTTTTCAATAAGAAACTGTGGACCTATATCCCATTTGATTATGATTACAGCAAAAGAGGGTTGTGCTGGGGCCACTACTTTGAAACTAGCAAAATTATTTTCCAAAACCCTCCCACATTAAACGCTCCAGTTTTTTAATAAACAGTATAAGCCTAATATTTCTTCCAGTGAACAAGTGAATACATTGTACTAATAGATTTTTCTTTTAATGATTCTGTACAGAGTGGTAGCTGTCCAGGTTACAAACACTATAAATACAAGTCTAAGTATTCTTAAAGCAATATACACTATTCTGTCTCCATTGTTACCACTCCCAATTTAAATGAATGTAATTCAGAAAATCATTTTTGAGACTCTACTATGTGCCAGGCACTAAGGGGGGTACAGGGGTGAACAAAACAGACATCTGTTTCTGTAAGAAAATTATGATTTCAAAGTGGATATAAAAGATTTATCTATTGACTTATTCATTGATTCAAATAAATTATTGAGCACCTATCATAAACCAAGCACTATTGTAGGTACTGAGAACTTAGCAGAAGAAAAAAAACCCTATCATCATAAAGCGTATATCCTAGAGGAGATAGATAATAAGCAAAATAAGTAAGTAAAATAAATAAATATAAAGGAGAGGAGAAAAATAGGAAGTGCCAAAATGGGGGATGCGGTTTTAACTCGGGTGATCAAAGAAGGCCTCGCTGACAAGGTGACATTTGAGAAAACTCATAGGACTGAGAATGCCATGGAAATATTGGGATGCAAGGTGCTCCAGAGAGAGGGCATATCAAGTGCAAAGGTCCAGAGGTAGGAGGGTACCTGGCCAGCCTAGAGGAATAACAAGGAGGTGAGCGTGGGTGGCTGGAGCAGAGTAAATAAGGAGAAAGCGTCATGGGAGATGAGGTCAAAGAGGTGAGAAGGGAGGTCATGCGGGGTGATGCACAGCACTGCAAGGGCCCTGCCTTTTAGTCCGAAGGAAACGGAGAGCCTCTGTAGGATTCTGAGCAGTTGAGGGATGGACCGGTGTATTAAAAGGTTCTTTCTGCTGTAAAAGTTTTAATGGAAGACCATTCAGAAAAAGGATTCGCCTAGGCTAAGAGGTAAGTGACGGCCTCGCTGCAGAAATGGCATTGAGGCCTGAAGACCTTGTTTACTGTGGGGAGTTAGCTCTAGGGGAAAGGGAGGTGCTTTCTCCAGACCAGAGGACATGTCGAGAGAAGGCTCTTAATGCCACAATAAGCCTCCTGTGGCTTACTCCTAAGGCTAATGAATGGGAAATTACTGGCAGTTTTTAAGGAAGGGACCCACGTGATCTGCTCAAGGTTTTATGATTGGTTGTTTTTTTGTAATATGAAATAGGCTGTGTTTTTCTAAACTGCAGGTTACAACTCATCAATTTAAGGTGGAGGGGTCACAAAATAGCTGCTTTTTTTTTTTTAAATAAAGTAGAAAACATCAGCATGCCCACAGGTTATAAGTATAGTTGCAGGAAACTTCTGGTTCCCTCTACACATATACTCAATGTGTATGTGTGTGTCATTGCCAAAGCTTAGAAGTCACTTGATTAGAAGGAAGGACATATCAAAAGGGGAGAGCAATAGAGGGAATGTGCTGTCATCTTCTTCCAGGCATCACTGGCTGCTGAGGCTAGAATAGGGAGAGAAGCGAATAGGCTGGTAGGAAGTCTCCAAGACATACCTATGCATGTGGGGGCAAAGGAAATGGTCCAGTGAAGGACAGGGACTGGATGGACGGCGGCAACATTAAATTGAAATTGAGAACATGGGAGGGGAGATAGTTTAGATTTCAACGTGTTGCCTGCAAGACATCACGATGGAGACAATCAGCTCACGGAGCACTGGGAGGCTAGTTACTGAGATGCAGGCGGGGTCTGCACTGTCAGTGAAAAGAATTTTTAAAAGATGTCCTGACAGGTCATTTCATCATATGTTATTGTCATCCTATGTAACATCTGGGGGCAAAATATGCTAAATATTTTGGGACAACCTTATACAGGAAAACACATTTCCTTGTTTTATCTGGAATTCACACTTACCAGGACATTCAGTATTTTATCTGGCAATTCTCATCAGTGGTCAAGACCCCTGAGAACAGAAGCAGATACGTCAGTTAGGACACAATGACAACAATCCAGGTGAGAGGGAAGGGTGCCCTGAAATTAGTGTTTCACAAGGGATTCTTTGCTAGGCTAGGACAAATGCAAGTTTTTTAAAATGTAAAATCAAATCACTTACCTTTGAAATAATTTTCATCATAATGATGGCCTATGTAGGTACTCCACCCTCAGGGTCAAGGTGTGAACCTGTGTGGCTCAGATTCACAGCGGCCCCTCTGTCTGGTGTGGCTCAGCTGCGTGCTGTAGTGTCTCACAGAACACATACCCCCAGAGAGGGAGTTGGGAGCGAACACCCAGTTGGGCTGTCCGTCCTAAAGGGACTTATCTGTGAGAGGAAAGTTCTGTTTGCATTTTCACTTCAACAGAACCTGTTGACAGTATTGAACTTGACATGAAAACATGGACTGTCAGACCCACGCTGACAGCTGCTTGGTTTTTGGCTGGCCCAAGTTCCATGATCAGATATATCTATCGTGGCAAAGGAATTTTTAAAAATCTGTAAGGAGATGTGTAATAGAAATATGACTAAAGAAACACGAGTGACATATGCCAGTTAACCACAAGACGTTTTCAATACCCAGATTCAAATGTAACTTCAGTAAGGGCAGTAATGCTAGTCTGTGCTGCTTGCCAATGTGATTTAGAAAAAGGCCAAGTGGCTCAGTTGGTTAAGAGCTCATTCAAGAGTGCAAGCTCTGAGCAACAACAGTTCGATTCCTGGCCCGAGCTGAGCTGCCGCTGAGCTGTCAAGATGGCTCAGCTAAAAAAAAAAAAAGGATGCAAAATGAAGAGTTTGCAACAGCCAATGATTGTGGTCAAGGGGATGCTGAAACTATTAAAAGCTTTTTATTTTTAAGATTGTAATGAGCAACTCAGTATCTGAAGGTGGACATTTCCATTCTTCCATTCATTCAATAAACACCAGTTGAAGACCAATAAATTGGCAGGCACTGTGCTGGGCTCCTGCTTCAAGAACAACAAAGGGCATTCATATATAAACTGGAAGAACTACACTATAGAAATCTGACCTTTAAAAAGGTGACCCTAGATGCTATCTTAAAGGAAATTCAGTATATTAAAAAAAACACTGAATTGTATACTTTAAAAGGGTTAAGCCTATGTGAGTCATATCTCAATTTTTGAAAAGTGGGAGAAAAAACAAAAGTAAAAAAAAAGATAAGTGGAAAATTAAAGTATAAGTAGATCTATTCCTTTTTTATCCAAGCAGATAGAGACAGTAAAATAATTTTTAATTAATAAAAAACTAGAAATTGTCAAGCTAGCCTAAGATGCTACCACAAAAAAACAAAATACAGTTTTAAAAATGGAAAGACTTAATGTCTATCATTTCAAAGTAAAAACTGATTTCTGCCTGCCAAGGATAAACAAATAAAATGACTGACATAAGAGGAAAGTAAAGCAAAAGCTAGGGAGATTCTCTAAAATGAAAAGCTTTTTCTGGATTCTTGGCTAGCTGTTTTTAAAGGAAATGATTTTCCAAATACAAGTAATTTGGAGACAACTTATCTCTTTTTTTCAATAAAGTCTATTTAAGAGCTGTCGAATCTTCTATTCCACTACTTCGTAAATTTCAAAAAGACACTAGAAAATTGTCCTACTTTATTAATTACCATATCTAATGAATATAATGTTATGCAGATCTCGCTGTGTAAATCAAAGTGCTTCACAAGGTTATCTAAAGCCTTACCAAGGTGTTAAAGAAACAATTACTCACAACACTTGTAAAGACCAGAAGAAAGATTTATTCAAAGGGGGCTATGACAATGGGGTTGTGTAGTAGGGGAGAGAGACTGGGCTCCAGACTCAGGAAAAGTGGGAATACATATATAGCCTAGGAGCAGAGTGTGTGAGGGGGGTTGGGGGTGGGACGGAGTATGTGTGTGTGTGGGGGGGATGTCAACAGATGGAAAAGTGCTAAGAGGAAGCATGAAGGGTAATGAGGGATTCTGGTTAACTGACCTACTGGCTGAAGGCAGGACAGGGTTATCAGATACCACCTGTGGGGGCTGGCAGAGGACAGGACTTGGATCAGAAAATGGTCTACAGAGGCTGAGGTTTCTTTCCAAATCCTCCCCTAACTCACATGCTTAGCCAACCATGAATGTACAACAAATGCCCTTGTGGTAGGAAAAAAAAAAAAAAGCTGATCTAGGCACCTCAGTCCGGTTCCTGAGTCCTCTGCTACATGACTTTGGGCGACACACTTCATTAGCTCTAACAAGGTCTTCAGGACGGCAAACTCAGGTAGCTAAGCTGCCAGTACATTGTAAATGTTCAACAAACTTGCAGGCCTTAGTTAAGAACAGCAGTCAGACCTACCAGGGCACGTGGCCAACTCAAATAGGGGGTCGTAGGGGGTGTGAAGAGGCAGTGGTCTTTAAACCCGGCGTACCAGTAACGCTGGGTATAAATACGAAGACTTTCCAGAGGCTCACAGCATGGGCTGTTGTAACAAAATCAACGTTCAAATCTTCAACCCCCACATGTCCTCTCATAACACGGCTTTACTGAATACATCTCTGCAGTGGCCTGAGGTTCCCTTTCTCACATCCCCTTTTCCAAACAAAACCGGGCCAAATGCTTCACAAAAGAAAAGTGAAAACAAAGCCTCATGGGGCCCTAACTTTTGTATGCTTGCCCCAGGGGTAAACACCTCCAGGCCACCCAGCAGAGGGACTGTGCAGATTCCCTGAGGAGATTTCTGCAGAGGGAATCAAAGCAAAGAAAGCCACCTCAAGTCTCCATGCCTTCTCTGTCTCAATTTATGCTCATTCTCTCTCTCTCTCAAATTCGGAAGTGAGGTTGCAAAGACATGCATTAAACCCTGTTGATTTGCAACAAAATAAATAGATAGATAGATAGATAGATAGATAGATAGATAGATAGATAGATAGATAGATAGATAGTCCGCCTTCTCCTGACAGAAAGTCAGTCAGGTATCTGGCCAGATATTTTGCTCTCACTTTATGAACAATGTCTGGTCCGAATGAGGAAAACGTGCAATTCTGAGATTTTGAGGAAAAGGTATTTAAAGCATAAAGGTGATATAAAACAGATTCTTTGTACAAAGTGTTCATATGTTGACTTGATAAAGAGTTTCACAAAAGTCTTTTAAATTTTTTGAGAGCAAAAAGCTTGAAGACTGGTCTGAGAAACTTAGCCCCAGGTAAGGAGGTTTTGCTGGCTTATGCACACAAGTTAATGACAAGCACAGTCCTCCCGAAGGAAAAGGTGATTTTGAAGGCAGCTGGTTGTTTCCAGCCTGATCCTCAGGAACTTCTGTTCATTTCTAGGGACAGAGACCGGCAATGGTGCTGGTGAATAACATGGAGCCATATTAGCCAGACATCTGGGACAGACAGCTCAAAACAACACCGTTTTAAGGCAGACTATGACACAAGTAGGGGTGAGGTGCTACTTTCATGATGGTGCCCATTGTAAGAGCCACAGGGCACTGGATATATGTGAAACTGCAGGTAGCCAGAGACAACACAGAAATTCCAAATCACTGCGTGACAGACTTTGGGGACTTCCAGCTATAGTTGGAGGGGTCAGGAGGGGCTTCCTCTATTTCATCCAGTCTGTTGGGTCAGCACCTCATAGCTGTTCTGGTGAATCCACTGGGCATGGTGTGGGGAAATCAGGGGACACTTTGGGTAAAACACCTAGAACTCATTAAATATTAAATCCCTTTCTTCAGTGTCTCCACCTCCAGCCTCCCTTTCTTGCCAATTAAAAAGATGAAGAAAATGGGGCCCAGGGAAGTTGAACTGTTAAAGGTTCTGAGGCTGTGCCCATTCAAGCTGGAACGGGAACGCAGAGCTTTCCATTTCTCTCTGTCTAATCTGTACGCAGCTCGCCTAATTTCAAGTCCAGAATTTTAGCCACAGACCAGACACCACTGGAAATAGGCTGTCTCAGAACGGCATAACTGCCATTATATTTTCCTCATGTTGTTTTTTTATGCCATTTGGCTAAGAAACAAAACTGGCTTGGATTTGGGCAGGAAGGTGGGGGTGAAGTTGTAACTGTCCCTGACTCACCAGGTGCGTCACTCTGCTCGGGTGGCAGTTCATCCACTGACAGGACTGGGCCCCCTGGGAGACGTGGGCAGGAATCTGTCTGGATGCTGTGTGGTCAACAAGGACACGGTGTTACTCTTTTCCTCTTTCGTTCCCAGTGAAGTCTCCTTCCCTCTGACAATATCAGCCATTGCGGGGACTTTGAATCCCTGTGGGTAACAGAAGCCTCGTTGGCCAAAGGAAAGAAAATTATTTACTCTTTCTGTTGAAAATTTCATAAGAATTTACAGCCCTGCTTGGCAAAACACAGATAATAATGAACATGAACTCAATGCACTCACAGAAAAAATCAACTATATCATCTCCAGCAGAAATCCTCATATAGATATTATACTAAAGTTTACACTCTGCTTCATGTTCTAAAAGAGATGTGTAGACTTCTTGGCCAAAGCCCCCATTTCTGTGGAGTCCAGTGTTGTACCACATTTCTGCAAAGGTCACATTTCTAACTTAACTCAACGTAATATGGTTCCCTTCTAGACCAGCTTCTTCCAGACCTAAAGGGTTGTACACCCCCTGGGTGATTCCACAAGATCTTCTGAAACATTTTGTGGCAACCACATTTCTCAAATAGTTGTTTCTGACCCAATCCAGCTCACAACGCCTTTCATGACCTAACATACCTCCAACTCTGGCTTAAAAATGGAGATGGCAACTATAAAGATGGGGAGCTCCACCCTCTCTCCCCCCACACAAGGCAGATATTGCTTATCAGTCACCACATGTGTTCCATCCACTGCATTGAGACTCAGTGTCAACTCTTCACGACTTAGGACTCCAAGCCACACTGCCAGCTAATTGACATATAAGTTGAAATCAATTTACAATCGTAGGATTAAATGAAATCACTAGAAAATCTAACTATTCTTGAGAAGTTTTTTTGGTGTTTTTTTTTTTTAACATGTGATGCCTGGAGACCTAACGTCACATTCCCAACAGTAACATTCTTGAGATGACTCCAAAATTCCATCTCGCTTTGTTTGAATGACACGTTAGAATTCTAACTTCCATTATGAATTTTGACTTGTATTAGGAAATATCTTCAGGTGGGGGAATAGGAACAATGTATCTACTTCCTACTTTCTTTTAGTTCTTTGAAATGAGTAGACTTGTGGTTTCTCAACTTAAGTTGGCCATTAGGTTTTTAGTTCAATTTGAATTTAAAGCCGACATGTCTGTTTCCTATTTCATCTGATTATCCATCCTTAACATGAGGACTCTAAGAAGCAGTTATTGCCTAGTATTGGCAGACTTGCTTGAGAATTGTGAAATCATTCACTTGTAATGGATAAACACTATGAAAAGGTAATTCCATAGCTCAAGAGTGTGAGCTCTGAGCAACAGCAGTTCGAGTCTGGCCCGAGCTGAGCTGCCATTGAGCTGCCAACAGGTGGCAGGATGGCTCAGCTAAAAAAAAAGAAAGAAAAAGCGATTCCAAAATTTAAATACTTCTTAGGATTTCAGAACCAACGGGAAAAATTTTAGAGTTGGTTAACAGGATCAAATGTATCTGAGTCAGTATTTTACCAAGTAAAATATTTGCTCCTTAGACCAGAAGAACAAAGTGCTCAATTAAGTTTGCAAGCCCTGAATCCAATGTCCCACTCAAAGACTCACAGGGAAGTTAGCATGTGAAAGGTAGTAAAATGGCCTGCAGTAAATAAATAGGCCTACTCAGTTGTGCCAAAGCCAAACTGTGCAAAGCTCTGAAACTTCATTTTCTGTTCATGAAACATCTATTAACAATTCTTCTAAAGCACACACACTTTAGGAAATTTGAGCATATCTAACCACTTGCCTTGACCAGAAACATAATTGAAAATGTGAAAGATGACTCTCCCTTACAAAACACAATCAGCTCTTCACAGCCTCCGTCTGATCACTCACTGGGTCAAGTTCTTTGTTTCATCTAACTCTCTCTTGCTGTGATTCAATCCTTGCCTCTCAGGTTTTTTCCCCTCTTATTCTCTCTCTCGTGGATATGAGGAACTCATTAGCTTTCTCCTTATGAAAACACTCTACAGAGGATTTTCTAAAAATGCAACTATGATCATGTTCCTCCCTAGATTAATACCCTTCAGCCACTCCCACTGCCTTGAAGATAATTCCAAATTCTAAAGAATAACAAGAACGACACCTGCTTCATTGACCACCTTTATTTCTGTTTTTCTTGGGAACCTGTCGAGAGTCTCCACATCCCTTTTAGAAGGAGGAACCCAAAAGTAGACCCCACATGGTATTTTATGGTATCTAGAGCTCAAAGTTCTTTCTTTTGGCTCCATCTAGGATAAACTCAATTTCAAGTCTCCTCTCAAATTTTGGTATTTCTTCCCATAAACGTTTCTGTTTAGAATAAAAACAGGAAATTAAAGTTAGAACTTTAATGGGTGTATAAAATCACAGTTTAGCAATAATTTCTGATTTCTTTCAGAAAATTCTCCCAACAGGAACATTGCTAAGAATTCTCAGAGATCTAAATCACTTTGACTAGCTGATATATTACTTTAAAAAAAATCTCTTTATTAGAGAATATGCTTTAGATACTAGGGAAAATATATTCTTTTGAATGCTTAAGGATTTTAGGTCCCTTAAAGGATTTTATTACCTTTGGAGTTAGTTGTATACTCATATTTGAACATAAAGATTAATAACCTAAGGATATTTGTATACTTTCTCTAAACAATAACCAATGAAAATGATGACTAAAGAGAATATAAGTGTACCATGTTGAATTATTATGGAAAACGATAAAAAAAAAACCAAAACGTCTTCTTCAGCCATATATCGGACAGTAAAATTCAGAATCACAAATACAACTATGCATCTAAACATTACTGAATTTGTCAAAACAATTATTAACAATAGCCCTACTATTGAGCCCTGTGGCCAGAAGAATTCCAGAACGGGACGTTAATAAGTCCTTTCAATTATCAGCACTCCCTGGAAACAGCCCATCTTGACAAAATATTCCAGGAACATAGAAGCTCAGATCACAATCCGCAGACAACAGTTGAAGTCAAGAAATGGCACAGGGGGCCAGCCGAGTGGCGCGATGGTTAAGAACTGGTTTGGGACGCCAGAGGGCCCTGGTTCGGATCCCACATATAAGGGCCAGTGACACTGCCCTCCACAGCTAAGATGCTGAACAACAGCTCAACCTGGAGCTGGGCTGCCATGAGTCACCGGCGACGGTGTAGGCTGCAGCCCTGCTGCAGTGGGTTGCCATGGGCTGCTGTGTGTAGCCAGCAGCCAGCGTGAGCGGCCAGCAGCCACTGTAAGTGGCCATCCAGAAGCCAGAGACTGATCTGCCTCGCCTGGGAAGAGCGCAATGATGGCGCCAACTTGGGCCAGTGAAGCAACGTCCTCCACAACTAGACTGAAGAACAAAAGGACAGCAACTTGTCTGTTCTCCTTCCCCCAGTTCCCCAGCACTGTTCCAATCCCCCCAATTCCCCAATAAAAAAAAATCTTAAAAAAAAAAAGAAATGGCACAGGGACAGCCAGGACGATTAGGTTGCAAGTGATAAAACGCCAAGTGACATGGCTGAAGAAAAAAGGAAGTTAATTGATTCCTATAAAACGTCTAGGCACTGACCAGGCATGGCTAGATCCAGCGCCATGTCTCTGCACCTTGGCCTGACCTATCTCTCACGTTCACGTCCCTCCTTTCTGCCTTCACTCTGAAGCAAGCTCTCGCCATGTGGTGGCCTCGGCAGCACCAGGCATATATCTTCCAGATTCCTGTCCAGACAATGTCCAAATGTTTGCTCTAATTTGACCAAAATTGGTCTTATGCCCATCCATGAACATTTACTGTGACCAAAAGGTACGAATCCAAGAAAAAGGAGGAGTGACTGCTGGACGGCCAGAACCGGTAGATTTCCACCACAGTGACTGCACAGCCAATTTTAGATCGCTTTGGAGCCGTGTAAATGCCTAGGTGTCTACTTCCTAAGAAGCGGACATATGGAACTCATGGATCAAAATGGTTACCTCCAATTTCAAATGTTCTCTTTGTGACAATTAGAGCACGTTAGTTTATGGGAAGGTCTTATTTAATAGCATGTTGAATGAAGTTTGACCTGTCGTCTCTGTATTTTTAGCTGAAGTCCCAAAGCTGAGAATAATATGAGCCAATTACCCCCACATTCTAAAGAGACGGCCTGATACATCGATGGCAGACTTAAAGAAAATAGATCAGTCCAGTATCTATGACACCTTCACCTCTAGCTTCTGTATGACAAGACCAAACTGGAAAAGGTGACTGAAGAAAGTCAAGGAGAACAGGGATTCAAAGGAGTAGAAAGTGTTTTGGCTTTTTTTACTCCTCTCCCCATACAGAGAGAAAGGTGTGCCACCTCCCAAACGTCCTCATAAAGATGGGAGCTATCTGCAGAAGGGGAGGCAGGTAACTCATTTCCCAGTGGAAGCGTAATTTTGTAACTTATCAGATGGTGAGAGAAGAGAAATAAAGCAGAGTGAGGAAGTGATGGGTGTGAGTGGGTGTCCCTTGAGGTGAGTGGTCAGGGAAGGCCTCACAGATAAGAGGACATTTGAGCAGAGGTCTAAAAGTGAGGGGGCAAAGCCATCAGAGAGTTGGGGGAAGAGTGTTTTAAGCAGAGAGAACAAGGAACCCAAAGGCCCTTGGTGGGAACATGCTTAACATGCCCTGGATGGAAAGGAGGCCAATGGGACTACAGAGAAGTAAGCAAGAGGACGTGGCAGAAATAAAGGGTTGAGATTAGAATGGAGTTGCATTTACCACGATGAGTAGAAAGGAAAGACAGAGTGAGAGAAAGATCACACCCCCAGGCCCAGTGCAGGTGCCTGAGTCTTGGATCAGGCCTGGGCTGGGGGGTGTGGGAGGCCAGGGGAAACTCTGAATTAGTTGAGATTAAATATAATTGGATTAGACAATTAGATGTAAGGTTTTGATGAAGGCTGAACTGTGTCTTTTAATACCTGAAAGGGAGCCTTCAATACCCACAAGTGACTAAAAAGCTATGGGATCTGTCTGTATGGGATCTATAGGACAGGCATGAAAGACTGGATGTTTGAAGGTTAGAGGAAAATAAAGCTATTCCCTTGTTGTACCCCAGAGAGTTTACCCCATTCAATAAACTGATGACTCTCTAAAAGAATCGAACTCTTTACGATCCA